TTAGGCAAACATGGCAAAATGTACAGACTGCAAGCAGAAGATAAAACTACTATTGTCAGACCTCGTTTCAAACTTGTCAAAGTTCAAGGTGGTATACTTTCAAAGACAGTTCCTAACAAATATAAGACAACTCCTGACGAATATGCTAAAGAAGTTGAAAATGACGACTAAGCATTTCTATACCATGCGTAAACTGTCATGTAAGGTGGCATGTAGTCTTTACTTTGTCCCGTTGTTTGCGTATATCCTGAAACGCGATGTGTATGGTTTCCTCCTCCCTCAGTGTTACTCCAGTAACAATTTATAGCAAACTTAACGTTGTCTTTAACATCATATCCTTTACCTTTTGTCATTGCTGACCAATCCCAATATCTATGCTTATGCCAACCTGCTTGAGATGTACTTAAATCTATGTAGTGACTGTGTGCAGGTAAATTTTCACCTGAAATCGTTTTACTTCCACTTGTTTCCTTTGAAGAGTTTGCACAATACAAAAACCTGTCGACTATTTGAGTCCAAGTTCCAAAACCAAGTACTACTTCTGGTCTGGTAGAGTTCATTGACGTATAAATAGAGCCTATAGGATATAATGTTTGAAGTATTTCTGTCTTTAATGTTTGAAGCTCTGTTTTGTCTGCTTTCTTATCTAACATTGCGGGTAGTTCATGTGCTTCAAAGTTTCTGGCATGACTTTCAATGTTCCTGCAACTGTTATCTAAACTGTTTAGTGTATCTTTTACGCTTGTACTCGGATTTTCTAATGGTGCACTTGAACCAAGGTCAAAGTTCAATATTATGTCGTCTGCTGTAAAAGTTGTAAAACTTGTATGTGTATGAGTCTTATTTGCTTTCTTCTCTAACTCATCGTTAACATAAGTTTTATCTGCTTTAAGGTCTAAACATCCTGAAACCCATCCTGTATCGGCTTTAGTTTTTAAAATCTTCGATGTCCATTCATGATACCATTCAGCCCTTTCTTTAATTTCATTATCTTTTTCATCCACATATTCCTTATCTGCTTTCTTCTCTAACTTACTAGCCACATATTCCTTATCCGCTTTCTTTTCAAGGCTAATGTTTAAGTCTGTTATTTCAGATATAGAATGTATATGAGTCTTTTTAGAATATTCGTTTTCAGCTCTTGTCACTTCACTTGACATTTTATTGTCAACATATTTTTTGTCTGCTAGTTCAGGATGAGTATGTTCTTTTGTTGCATAAGCATTGTTAGCTCTTTCTTCTTCTTTTGCTATTGCATCGTCTACATATTCTTTGTCAGCTTTGTTGTCAACATCTGCTTTCAAAAGAAGTTCATTTATAGGTTTCTCGTTTAAAGTTCCTTTTGTTGGATTTATACAGACAGTATTGTTCTTCTTGTCTTGAAACAGAAACTCATCTGTCATTGGGTTTAATGTCAGTTTTAAGTTTCCTTCTTTCAATGACTCAGATATCTTAGAGTAGTTTGAAAAGTTTGTTGTGTTCTTATTTAGAGCTTGCATAATGAGTTGTCGGTTGTGTTGTATTTCTCTCATGGAAGCAATATCTTTCGACATTTTTATTATAGATAAAATATGCTTCCAATAGAAAAAGAAAATTCAAGAGTTGCTACAACTAAACCATTAGATGAACTTTTTACTAATGTCGGTCAAAAGTTTGAGACAGAGACCGTAAAGCATGAAGGCTATCGTTTTGACTACCCATTAAGATGGCTAAGAGACCCATCTGTCACAAAAGCTATTGGCTTTCGTAGAATGAAGTTCATTTCAGAAGCCATACATGGTTTCCCATTTACGGTCGGTTTTGAAGTTCGATACTATAACAAAGAAAAACGTATGTATGAGAAATTTGAACAGGGAAAACTTTTACAAGTTAGTTTGCTTGTAAACTTAGAAACAACTCTTCAAGCTTTTCAAGAAAAAATAAACGATATCTATATCGAATATGCAAACCAGTATAACATTGACGAAGGAGAATACCATCTCGATATTATTTATGACAGGAAAAATGCAACTGTTAAAATCAATAGAATAGAAGACCTTGGAGAAAACGTTTATATTTCTACAAAATATAACAACTTGGCATGGTATAGATTTATGAGGATGTTAAATCAGCCTGCAGCATATCCAGTACACCCAGACTTTTATGAAGTCGAAAACCCTAATGGAACATATGAAAATGTTTTCGACCCAGCTGCTATTATTGTTCATGCTTCATTTTCTGGCGCCCAAAACTCTTTCTTATGCTTGGCAAATGACTTTTACGAAAAACCTACAAAGTTATACGAACCACCAAGTGGAAGTATTTCAGACTTTCAAGTATGGTTTACTACAGATGGAAGAAAAAGAATAATTCCATTATACCATGCGTTTTACTTAGAACTTAGTTTCATATACAACTACTATCGAACGGTAAAAATATAATTTTTTAATATACCGGTTGTGGTGTTGGATTTGGTTGCCAACTAGACTGTGGTGCAGGTTCAGGCTGTTGTATAACAGGAGCTTGTTCTTCTGGTTCAGGGTCTTTAGGTATAATACCAACAAACTGACCTACCCTTTTACCAATATTTTTGACTCCGTTCCAAATTCCTCTTCCTACGGTTTTTATTCCATTCCATATACCTCTTCCAACTCTTCTGAAGAAGTTTCCAATACTACTGAAGAAACCCATTTTACTATATGTAAAAATCTAATGTCCGCCTAGTCTTTTGCGTTTCCTGTTGAGTTCCATAGCATTCTTTAACTGGAGCTCATACATTCTGTTTCTCCTCTGGTAGAAAACATATTCTGGGTCAACTCCTGTGTTCGCGTCATCTGCATAAAGTTGTTTATATCCCACTTCAGGGTTTGTATAAAACTCTTTCCATCTCATATTTGCATACCATGGTGGCAAACCTAACGCAGCGTCATTTGACATGGCAGTTTGCATTTGTACATCTGTTGGCACTTGACCATAGTTTGCCATTGCAGTTTGTATTCTAACTTCATTTGGAATATTCTCTGGGTTTGGTTGTCCAGGTTGCTGTGCATTCGCTAAGTTCTGTGCGTCCATTTAATATTAGATAAAAATATCTCTTACGAGTACATATACTGAACATTTGCAGGCATTGGTTCATCTTCATATTCTCTGTACTTTTCTGCCACGTCAAAGAAATAAATGACACAATGGAAAAAACCTAAAACAAGTAGTCCTATTTCAAACCACATTTAGTTACCAATAAAATTTCTTTGTTATGACACTTTTTCCGGTTTATAGGACCTCTCTCATATTCTATCTTGTCATATCTAAACTCATAGTCATGTATGTCCTCTAACCATCTCATGACACTTTCCAAACCACTTTTATCGGATGTAAAGTAAAAGCATGGATGGTTATGTAAAACGTCTAAAGTTTCTAAAGAGTCTCTCAAAGTCCAGTCTACTTGGTATTGAAAATCATATGTGTTATAGAACGGCGGGTCCACTATAAAGAAAACATTTTCCTTGTCTTTATATTTTTCATACAACTCTGTCCAATGACATCTCACAAACTCTATACCCTCAATATATTTTTCTATGTCCTCTTTGAAAACATTTGTATAGTTAAGATATAAAACTTTTGACATAAGTGTTTCAATGTCATGAACTCTTATAGCACCACTATATAATAGTCTAGCAGATATACTATCCCAGTCTATATATTCTGCTTTTTTCAAAACCTCTCTCACAATATTTTTCTTATCTAATGGTATACGTTCCATCTTACCTATAGGTATCTTTTCTTTTAACTCTTTCAATATATTGTTAGTGTCTGGAATATGTTTGAGACGGTCCATATAGTTGTCGAAGTCATTGCATATAATCTTTGAGTCTGGGAATATTGTATGGCACAAATGGGATATATAGAAACTTCCACCGAACAAATCTACAAATGTTAGACCATTCGGTAGTTTCTTAAGTTCTCTCAATATAATATCTTTACATCTACTCTTATTTCCAAAGAACGGTAACGGTGGTTTTGTAAAATTCATTTATATATAATAATAAAAATGTTTTTACCCGAAAAGTGACAGAAAAGTGACAAATCATGAAACATATATAATTTGTGAAAAGTGACACATTATATAATGTTTTCGACCCAGAAGACTAACAATTTTCCGAATAAAAACTTCATTTATACTAAACATCTTCGGGGCTAGAGGGCGCAACGCGCCTGGAAGCCCCACTACCTTTTTTTTTTCTAAGGCTTTTGGAAAATTTACAAAATAAATTTAATATTTTGTAAATGTTATCGGTTCTTACGCTTTTGGAAGGAGGGATGGTATTTTTGGAGCATTTATATCACATTGGTACTAAGGCTTTTGGAAAATTTACAAAATAAATTTAATATTTTGTAAATGTTATCGGTTCTTACGCTTTTGGAAGGAGGGATGGTATTTTTGGAGCATTTATATCACATTGGTACTAAGGCTTTTGGAAAATTTACAAAATAAATTTAATATTTTGTAAATGTTATCGGTTCTTACGCTTTTGGAAGGAGGGATGGTATTTTTGGAGCATTTATATCACATTGGTACTAAGGCTTTTGGAAAATTTACAAAATAAATTTAATATTTTGTAAATGTTATCGGTTCTTACGCTTTTGGAAGGAGGGATGGTATTTTTGGAGCATTTATATCACATTGGTACTAAGGCTTTTGGAAAATTTACAAAATAAATTTAATATTTTGTAAATGTTATCGGTTCTTACGCTTTTGGAAGGAGGGATGGTATTTTTGGAGCATTTATATCACATTGGTACTAAGGCTTTTGGAAAATTTACAAAATAAATTTAATATTTTGTAAATGTTATCGGTTCTTACGCTTTTGGAAGGAGGGATGGTATTTTTGGAGCATTTATATCACATTGGTACTAAGGCTTTTGGAAAATTTACAAAATAAATTTAATATTTTGTAAATGTTATCGGTTCTTACGCTTCCTCTCTTCATCAAGATGCTTCCTCACTCCATCATGCATCCATCATGCAGCTTCCTCTCTTCATCAAGATGCTTCCTCTCCTGATCAAGATGCTTCCTCTCTTCATCAAGATGCTTCCTCTCTTCATCAAGATGCTTCCTCTCTTCAACAAAGTGATTCCTCTCTTGATCAAGGTGCTTCCTGTCTTCATCAAGATGCTTCTTCTCTTCAACAATGTACTTCCTCTCTTGATCAAGATGCTTCCTCACTCCATCATGCAGCTTCCTCTCTTGATCAAGATGCTTCCTGTCTTGATCAAGATGCTTCCTCTCTTGATCAAGGTGCTTCCTCTCTTCATCAAGATGCTTCCTCTCTTCATCAAGATGCTTCCTCTCTTCAACAATGTACTTCCTCTCTTGATCAAGATGCTTCCTCACTCCATCATGCAGCTTCCTCTCTTGATCAAGATGCTTCCTCTCTTCTTCAAAGTACTTCCTCTCTTGATCAAGATGCTTCCTCACTCCATCATGCAGCTTCCTCTCTTGATCAAGATGCTTCCTCTCTTCTTCAAAGTACTTCCTCTCTTGATCAAGGTGCTTCCTCTCTTCATCAAGATGCTTCCTCTCTTCAACAATGTACTTCCTCTCTTGCTCAAGATGCAGCTTCCTCTCTTCAACAAAGTGCTTCCTCTCTTCATCAAGGTGCTTCCTCTCTTCATCAAGATGCTTCCTCTCTTCAATAAAGTGATTCCTCTCTTCATCAAGGTGCTTCCTCTCTTCATCAAGATGCTTCCTCTCTTCAACAATGTACTTCCTCTCTTGATCAAGGTGCTTCCTCACTACATCAAGATGCTTCCTCTCTTCAACAATGTACTTCCTCTCTTGCTCAAGATGCAGCTTCCTCTCTTCAACAAAGTGCTTCCTCTCTAAATCAAAGTGCTTCCTCTCTTCAACAAAGTGCTTCCTCTCTTCATCATGCAGCTTCCTCACTACATCATGCAGCTTCCTCTCTTCAACAAAGTGATTCCTCTCTTCTTCAAAGTACTTCCTCTCTTGATCAAGATGCTTCCTCTCTTCATCAAGATGCTTCCTCTCTTCAACAATGTACTTCCTCTCTTGCTCAAGATGCAGCTTCCTCTCTTCAACAAAGTGCTTCCTCTCTTCATCAAGGTGCTTCCTCTCTTCATCAAGATGCTTCCTCTCTTCAACAATGTACTTCCTCTCTTGATCAAGATGCTTCCTCACTCCATCATGCAGCTTCCTCTCTAGATCAAAGTGCTTCCTCTCTTCAACAAAGTGCTTCCTCTCTTGATCAAGGTGCTTCCTCTCTTCATCAATATGCTTCCTCTCTTGATCAAGATGCTTCCTCTCTTGATCAAGGTGCTTCCTCTCTTCATCAAGATGCTTCCTCTCTTCAATAAAGTGATTCCTCTCTTCATCAAGGTGCTTCCTCTCTTCATCAATATGCTTCCTCTCTTCTTCAAAGTACTTCCTCTCTTGATCAAGGTGCTTCCTCTCTTCATCAAGATGCTTCCTCTCTTCAACAATGTACTTCCTCTCTTGCTCAAGATGCAGCTTCCTCTCTTCAACAAAGTGCTTCCTCTCTTCATCAAGGTGCTTCCTCTCTTCATCAAGATGCTTCCTCTCTTCAACAATGTACTTCCTCTCTTGATCAAGATGCTTCCTCTCTTCATCAAGATGCTTCCTCTCTTCTTCAAAGTACTTCCTCTCTTGATCAAGATGCTTCCTCTCTTCATCAAGGTGCTTCCTCTCTTCATCAAAGTACTTCCTCTCTTGATCAAGATGCTTCCTCTCTTCATCATGCAGCTTCCTCTCTAAATCAAAGTGCTTCCTCTCTTCAATAAAGTGATTCCTCTCTTCATCAAGGTGCTTCCTCTCTTCATCAAGATGCTTCCTCTCTTCATCAAGATGCTTCCTCTCTTCTTCAAAGTACTTCCTCTCTTCATCAAGGTGCTTCCTGTCTTCATCAAGATGCTTCCTCTCTTCAACAATGTACTTCCTCTCTTGATCAAGATGCTTCCTCACTCCATCATACAGCTTCCTCTCTTGATCAAGATGCTTCCTGTCTTGATCAAGATGCTTCCTCTCTTGATCAAGATGCTTCCTCTCTTGATCAAAGTACTTCCTCTCTTCATCAAGATGCTTCCTCTCTTCAACAAAGTGATTCCTCTCTTCATCAAGGTGCTTCCTCTCTTCAACAAAGTGCTTCCTCTCTTCATCATGCAGCTTCCTCTCTAAATCAAAGTGCTTCCTCTCTTCATCAAGATGCTTCCTCTCTAAATCAAGGTGCTTCCTCTCTTCATCAAGATGCTTCCTCTCTTCAATAAAGTGATTCCTCTCTTCATCAAAATGCTTCCTCTCTTGCTCAAGATGCAGCTTCCTCTCTTCAACAATGTACTTCCTCTCTTCAACAAAGTGCTTCCTCTCTTCATCATGCAGCTTCCTCTCTAGATCAAAGTGCTTCCTCTCTTCAACAAAGTGATTCCTCTCTTCTTCAAAGTACTTCCTCTCTTGATCAAGATGCTTCCTCTCTTCATCAAGATGCTTCCTCTCTTCATCAAGATGCTTCCTCTCTTCAACAATGTACTTCCTCTCTTCATCAAGATGCTTCCTCTCTTCAACAATGTACTTCCTCTCTTCAACAAAGTGCTTCCTCTCTTCATCATGCAGCTTCCTCTCTAAATCAAAGTGCTTCCTCTCTTCAACAAAGTGATTCCTCTCTTCAACAAAGTGCTTCCTCTCTTCAACAAAGTGCTTCCTCTCTTCATCAAGATGCTTCCTCTCTTCATCAAGATGCTTCCTCTCTTCATCAAGGTGCTTCCTCTCTTCATCAAGATGCTTCCTCTCTTCAATAAAGTGATTCCTCTCTTCATCAAAATGCTTCCTCTCTTGCTCAAGATGCAGCTTCCTCTCTTCAACAAAGTGCTTCCTCTCTTCATCAAGATGCTTCCTCTCTTCTTCAAAGTACTTCCTCTCTTCTTCAAAGTACTTCCTCTCTTGATCAAGATGCTTCCTCACTCCATCATGCAGCTTCCTCTCTTGATCAAGATGCTTCCTGTCTTGATCAAGGTGCTTCCTCTCTTCATCAAGATGCTTCCTCTCTTCGACAAAGTGATTCCTCTCTTCATCAAGGTGCTTCCTCTCTTCAACAAAGTGCTTCCTCTCTTCATCATGCAGCTTCCTCTCTAAATCAAAGTGCTTCCTCTCTTCAACAAAGTGATTCCTCTCTTCAACAAAGTACTTCCTCTCTTGATCAAGATGCTTCCTCTCTTCATCAAGGTGCTTCCTCTCTTCATCAAAGTACTTCCTCTCTTGATCAAGATGCTTCCTCTCTTCATCATGCAGCTTCCTCTCTAAATCAAAGTGCTTCCTCTCTTCATCATGCAGCTTCCTCTCTAAATCAAAGTGCTTCCTCTCTTCAACAAAGTGCTTCCTCTCTTCATCAAGATGCTTCCTCTCTTCAACAATGTACTTCCTCTCTTCATCAAGATGCTTCCTCTCTTCAACAATGTACTTCCTCTCTTCAACAAAGTGCTTCCTCTCTTCATCATGCAGCTTCCTCTCTAAATCAAAGTGCTTCCTCTCTTCAACAAAGTGCTTCCTCTCTTCAACAAAGTGCTTCCTCTCTTCATCAAGATGCTTCCTCTCTTCATCAAGATGCTTCCTCTCTTCTTCAAAGTACTTCCTCTCTTCATCAAGATGCTTCCTCTCTAAATCAATATGCTTCCTCTCTTCAACAATGTACTTCCTCTCTTGATCAAGATGCTTCCTCTCTTCATCAAGATGCTTCCTCTCTTCTTCAAAGTACTTCCTCTCTTGATCAAGATGCTTCCTCTCTTCATCAAGGTGCTTCCTCTCTTCATCAAAGTACTTCCTCTCTTGATCAAGATGCTTCCTCTCTTCATCATGCAGCTTCCTCTCTAAATCAAAGTGCTTCCTCTCTTCAACAAAATGATTCCTCTCTTCAACAAAGTGCTTCCTCTCTTGATCAAGATGCTTCCTCTCTTCATCAAGATGCTTCCTCTCTTCTTCAAAGTACTTCCTCTCTTGATCAAGGTGCTTCCTCTCTTCATCAAGATGCTTCCTCTCTTCATCAAGATGCTTCCTCTCTTCATCAAGGTGCTTCCTCTCTTCATCAAAGTACTTCCTCTCTTGATCAAGATGCTTCCTCTCTTCATCATGCAGCTTCCTCTCTAAATCAAAGTGCTTCCTCTCTTCAACAAATGATTCCTCTCTTCATCAAAGTGCTTCCTCTCTTGATCAAGATGCTTCCTCTCTTCATCAAGATGCTTCCTCTCTTCTTCAAAGTACTTCCTCTCTTGATCAAGATGCTTCCTCTCTTCATCAAGATGCTTCCTCTCTTCAACAATGTACTTCCTCTCTTGATCAAGATGCTTCCTCTCTTCATCAAGATGCTTCCTCTCTAAATCAATATGCTTCCTCTCTTCAACAATGTACTTCCTCTCTTCATCATGCAGCTTCCTCTCTAAATCAAAGTGCTTCCTCTCTTCAACAAAGTGCTTCCTCTCTTCAACAAAGTGCTTCCTCTCTTCATCAAGATGCTTCCTCTCTTCAACAATGTACTTCCTCTCTTCATCAAGATGCTTCCTCTCTTCAACAATGTACTTCCTCTCTTCAACAAAGTGCTTCCTCTCTTCATCATGCAGCTTCCTCTCTAAATCAAAGTGCTTCCTCTCTTCAACAAAGTGATTCCTCTCTTCAACAAAGTGCTTCCTCTCTTCTTCAAAGTACTTCCTCTCTTGATCAAGGTGCTTCCTCTCTTCATCAAGATGCTTCCTCTCTTCAACAATGTACTTCCTCTCTTCAACAAAGTGCTTCCTCTCTTCATCATGCAGCTTCCTCTCTAAATCAAAGTGCTTCCTCTCTTCAACAAATGATTCCTCTCTTCAACAAAGTGCTTCCTCTCTTCTTCAAAGTACTTCCTCTCTTGATCAAGGTGCTTCCTCTCTTCATCAAGATGCTTCCTCTCTTCAACAATGTACTTCCTCTCTTGATCAAGATGCTTCCTCACTCCATCATGCAGCTTCCTCTCTTGATCAAGATGCTTCCTCTCTTCATCAAGATGCTTCCTCTCTTCAACAATGTACTTCCTCTCTTCATCAAGATGCTTCCTCTCTTCAACAATGTACTTCCTCTCTAAATCAAAGTGCTTCCTCTCTTCAACAAAGTGCTTCCTCTCTTCAACAAAGTGCTTCCTCTCTTCATCATGCAGCTTCCTCTCTTCATCAAGATGCTTCCTCTCTTCTTCAAAGTACTTCCTCTCTTCATCAAGATGCTTCCTCTCTAAATCAATATGCTTCCTCTCTTCAACAATGTACTTCCTCTCTTGATCAAGATGCTTCCTCTCTTCATCAAGATGCTTCCTCTCTTCTTCAAAGTACTTCCTCTCTTGATCAAGATGCTTCCTCTCTTCATCAAGGTGCTTCCTCTCTTCATCAAAGTACTTCCTCTCTTGATCAAGATGCTTCCTCTCTTCATCATGCAGCTTCCTCTCTAAATCAAAGTGCTTCCTCTCTTCAACAAAATGATTCCTCTCTTCAACAAAGTGCTTCCTCTCTTGATCAAGATGCTTCCTCTCTTCATCAAGATGCTTCCTCTCTTCTTCAAAGTACTTCCTCTCTTGATCAAGGTGCTTCCTCTCTTCATCAAGATGCTTCCTCTCTTCATCAAGATGCTTCCTCTCTTCATCAAGGTGCTTCCTCTCTTCATCAAAGTACTTCCTCTCTTGATCAAGATGCTTCCTCTCTTCATCATGCAGCTTCCTCTCTAAATCAAAGTGCTTCCTCTCTTCAACAAAATGATTCCTCTCTTCAACAAAGTGCTTCCTCTCTTGATCAAGATGCTTCCTCTCTTCATCAAGATGCTTCCTCTCTTCTTCAAAGTACTTCCTCTCTTGATCAAGATGCTTCCTCTCTTCATCAAGATGCTTCCTCTCTTCTTCAAAGTACTTCCTCTCTTGATCAAGATGCTTCCTCTCTTCATCATGCAGCTTCCTCTCTTCATCAAGATGCTTCCTCTCTTCTTCAAAGTACTTCCTCTCTTCATCAAGATGCTTCCTCTCTAAATCAATATGCTTCCTCTCTTCAACAATGTACTTCCTCTCTTGATCAAGATGCTTCCTCTCTTCATCAAGATGCTTCCTCTCTTCTTCAAAGTACTTCCTCTCTTGATCAAGATGCTTCCTCTCTTCATCAAGATGCTTCCTCTCTTCTTCAAAGTACTTCCTCTCTTCATCAAGATGCTTCCTCTCTAAATCAATATGCTTCCTCTCTTCAACAATGTACTTCCTCTCTTGATCAAGATGCTTCCTCTCTTCATCAAGATGCTTCCTCTCTTCTTCAAAGTACTTCCTCTCTTGATCAAGATGCTTCCTCTCTTCATCAAGGTGCCTCCTCTCTTCATCAAAGTACTTCCTCTCTTGATCAAGATGCTTCCTCTCTTCATCATGCAGCTTCCTCTCTATCAAAGTGCTTCCTCTCTTCAACAAATGATTCCTCTCTTCAACAAAGTGCTTCCTCTCTTGATCAAGATGCTTCCTCTCTTCATCAAGATGCTTCCTCTCTTCTTCAAAGTACTTCCTCTCTTGATCAAGGTGCTTCCTCTCTTCATCAATATGCTTCCTCTCTTCAACAATGTACTTCCTCTCTTCATCAAGGTGCTTCCTCTCTTCATCAAAGTACTTCCTCTCTTGATCAAGATGCTTCCTCTCTTCATCATAGCTTCCTCTCTATCAAAGTGCTTCCTCTCTTCAACAAATGCTTCCTCTCTTCATCAAAGTGCTTCCTCTCTTGATCAAGATGCTTCCTCTCTTCATCAAGATGCTTCCTCTCTTCTTCAAAGTACTTCCTCTCTTCATCAAGATGCTTCCTCTCTTCATCAAGATGCTTCCTCTCTTCTTCAAAGTACTTCCTCTCTTGATCAAGATGCTTCCTCTCTTCATCAAGATGCTTCCTCTCTTCATCAAGATGCTTCCTCTCTTCAAAAGTACTTCCTCTCTTCATCAAGAGCTTCCTCTCTTCAAAGTGCTTCCTCTCTTCATCAAAGTGCTTCCTCTCTTCAACAAAGTGCTTCCTCTCTTCATCAAGATGCTTCCTCTCTTCAACAATGTACTTCCTCTCTTTCAAGATGCTTCCTCTCTTCAACAATGTACTTCCTCTCTTCAACAAAGTGCTTCCTCTCTTCATCATCAGCTTCCTCTCTATCAAGATGCTTCCTCTCTTCAACAAAGTGCTTCCTCTCTTCAACAAGTGCTTCCTCTCTTCTTCAAAGTACTTCCTCTCTTGATCAAGGTGCTTCCTCTCTTCATCAAGATGCTTCCTCTCTTCAACAATGTACTTCCTCTCTTGATCAAGATGCTTCCTCTCTTCATCAAGCAGCTTCCTCTCTTGATCAAGATGCTTCCTCTCTTCATCAAGATGCTTCCTCTCTTCAACAATGTACTTCCTCTCTTCATCAAGATGCTTCCTCTCTTCAACAATGTACTTCCTCTCTTCAAAAAGTGCTTCCTCTCTTCATCAAGCAGCTTCCTCTCTTCTCATCAAAGTGCTTCCTCTCTTCAACAAAGTGCTTCCTCTCTTCTCAAAGTGCTTCCTCTCTTCATCAAGATGCTTCCTCTTCTCAAGATGCTTCCTCTCTTCTCAAAGTACTTCCTCTCTTCATCAAGATGCTTCCTCTCTTCATCAAATGCTTCCTCTCTTCAACAATGTACTTCCTCTCTTGATCAAGATGCTTCCTCTCTTCATCAAGATGCTTCCTCTCTTCTTCAAAGTACTTCCTCTCTTGATCAAGATGCTTCCTCTCTTCATCAAGGTGCTTCCTCTCTTCATCAAAGTACTTCCTCTCTTGATCAAGATGCTTCCTCTCTTCATCATGCAGCTTCCTCTCTAAATCAAAGTGCTTCCTCTCTTCAACAAAATGATTCCTCTCTTCAACAAAGTGCTTCCTCTCTTGATCAAGATGCTTCCTCTCTTCATCAAGATGCTTCCTCTCTTCTTCAAAGTACTTCCTCTCTTGATCAAGGTGCTTCCTGTCTTCATCAAGATGCTTCCTCTCTTCAACAATGTACTTCCTCTCTTGATCAAGATGCTTCCTCTCTTCATCAAGATGCTTCCTCTCTTCTTCAAAGTACTTCCTCTCTTGATCAAGGTGCTTCCTCTCTTCATCAAGATGCTTCCTCTCTTCAACAATGTACTTCCTCTCTTGATCAAGATGCTTCCTCACTCCATCATGCAGCTTCCTCTCTTGATCAAGATGCTTCCTCTCTTCATCAAGATGCTTCCTCTCTTCAACAATGTACTTCCTCTCTTCATCAAGATGCTTCCTCTCTTCAACAATGTACTTCCTCTCTTCAACAAAGTGCTTCCTCTCTTCATCATGCAGCTTCCTCTCTAAATCAAAGTGCTTCCTCTCTTCAACAAAGTGATTCCTCTCTTCAACAAAGTGCTTCCTCTCTTCAACAAAGTGCTTCCTCTCTTCATCAAGATGCTTCCTCTCTTCTTCAAAGTACTTCCTCTCTTGATCAAGGTGCTTCCTGTCTTCATCAAGATGCTTCTTCTCTTCAACAATGTACTTCCTCTCTTGATCAAGATGCTTCCTCTCTTCATCAAGATGCTTCCTCTCTTCTTCAAAGTACTTCCTCTCTTGATCAAGGTGCTTCCTCTCTTCTTCAAAGTACTTCCTCTCTTGATCAAGGTGCTTCCTGTCTTCATCAAGATGCTTCCTCTCTTCAACAATGTACTTCCTCTCTTGATCAAGATGCTTCCTCTCTTCATCAAGATGCTTCCTCTCTTCTTCAAAGTACTTCCTCTCTTGATCAAGGTGCTTCCTCTCTTCATCAAGATGCTTCCTCTCTTCAACAATGTACTTCCTCTCTTGATCAAGATGCTTCCTCACTCCATCATGCAGCTTCCTCTCTTCTTCAAAGTACTTCCTCTCTTGATCAAGGTGCTTCCTCTCTTCTTCAAAGTACTTCCTCTCTTGATCAAGGTGCTTCCTGTCTTCATCAAGATGCTTCTTCTCTTCAACAATGTACTTCCTCTCTTGATCAAGATGCTTCCTCTCTTGATCAAGATGCTTCCTCTCTTCATCAAGGTGCTTCCTCTCTTCATCAAAGTACTTCCTCTCTTGATCAAGATGCTTCCTCTCTTCATCATGCAGCTTCCTCTCTAAATCAAAGTGCTTCCTCTCTTGATCAAGGTGCTTCCTGTCTTCATCAAGATGCTTCTTCTCTTCAACAATGTACTTCCTCTCTTGATCAAGATGCTTCCTCTCTTCATCAAGATGCTTCCTCTCTTCTTCAAAGTACTTCCTCTCTTGATCAAGGTGCTTCCTCTCTTCTTCAAAGTACTTCCTCTCTTGATCAAGGTGCTTCCTGTCTTCATCAAGATGCTTCTTCTCTTCAACAATGTACTTCCTCTCTTCAACAATGTACTTCCTCTCTTCAGATTATATATCATTTATTAAAGATGACCTTGAAAAAACGTATGATATGTATATAAATAATGTGATAGCGAAATGGGATATTAACATGATTTTAAGTTATTTAAATGAATCATTTATCGTATGGTATGAAGAAAATTTTAAATCAAAACCCGATAAACTTTTTGAACTTGATGAAATAAATAACCTTATTAAATTCCCGCTGAAAATTAAATTTTGTACTCCTCATCTTCGTTCATTGTTGGGGATATTAAATTTTGAAAAAGATGTTGGGGATGTTTTGTATTCTGACACTGGTTCCAATTTCATTTTAATCAAATGTGATAAAGTTAATACCTCAATGAGATTTTCACATCAAACATTAGACCCTAACTCTACCCATCAATACAAAACATTTTATCCATCAACTTAAACACATTTTCTTTATCATATCCGTTTCAATTATCCGGGAATTCATTTATTCTTCATTCAAAAGATTTATCAAATATTAAATTTAGAATAACTGACCTATTTGATTGTGATTTAGAATTTATGAATGAAATATTATGGCAATTTCAAATAGAGAAAATAGCCGATGAGATAACGGATTAAGTATTTATTTTTAAATCATAATAAATGATTAAACAACAGCAACCACAACAACTTAAGGCGCAAAGCGCCCAGGTCCTTCAGACCATTACATACGCCATATATGCATATAATTCAAAGATGGCAGAACAAACGCAAAGGTTGAAATATGGAGATTTGGAGATAGTATTGAAAAATGAACATTTCGAATTCGTTTGCAAAGGTGGTGCAGTGATATCAAATATAAAAGAAATTTTATTTATGAATTCTAAAATTAAAGGTATAACGGATGATATAACATCAATTCCACCAGAAGAAACGAGATATTACGCATTAAATGCATTTCCTAAAGTTTTGAAGATTGGAAGATTTAATTTAAATGAGGAATTCATAGAAGGTTTCCTAAATGACATAATGAAGAAGGTGGATAAGGAATATGTGGATAGTGAGTTAAATAAGAAGGCAAATTTGGTTTATGTTGATGAAAAAGATAATGAAATTAAAGAAAAGGTTGAATGGTATCATGAATGGACATTTGAGACTTTTAAAGTTAAAGCTGATACAGGATGGGTTTCGGGATGTTTAGACCTTAAAGCAGATAAAACTTATGTTAACGATGAGTTAGAGAAGAAGGCGGACAAGGAATGGACATTTGAGACTTTTAAAGTTAAAGCTGATACAGAATGGGTTTCAGGATGTTTAGACCTTAAAGCAGATAAAAACTTATGTTGATGAAAATTATGCAAAGAAGTCGGAAGTAAATGATGTGATTACAAGCATGAAAAATGAAATACTTCAAACATTATATCCTGTTGGTTCTATTTATACGTCAATGAACTCAACAAATCCTTCAGAAGTTTTAGGTTTTGGTATGTGGAAGCAGATTGTAGATAAATTCTTATACTGTGCTAGATATTCAAAGCAAACAGGAGGTTCGAAGAAAATTAAAGAAGCAAACCTTCCACCGCACACTCATACAGGAACTACAAACTTTTCTGGCAACCATATCCACTCATTAAGAGACCACCCATTATACAACTCAGAATATGAAGCTGGCCATGATGTTTTATCTCCAGATTATAACCATGCAACAAAAAAGATTTTTCGACCAACTGAACCAGGAGGAAATCATTCACACACTTTCACAACAAATCCAACAGGCTTGGGTAAAGATTACATGCCACCATTTGTGACTGTATTCGCATGGTACCGAGTTCAATGAATGTGCTTGAGACTTGACCTTTGGGTCAAGGCTTACCGAATGAACTAAATATATTTTATGTCTGTAATTAATTAGGTAATGAACTGCGGAAATAAATGTTTACGTTAATGTTTTCAGGTTATTCAATAATTAATTATTTTTGAAGAACTGAGGGTGTCACTACGTCACCATGTGTCACTCGGTTAATTAACTTCTCTGAAAAAATGAGACAACATGACATTTTGACAACAGTCCTGGAAATTTGATGCAGTCCAAAAATAAAGTTGGTTTTAAAATTATTTTTATTTTTTTATTCCTATATAAATGACAGCAACAAACAACAACAGTAACTATATCGTTTCTGATGAAAAAGTTATTGATTCATTAGCTGAGGAATTAGTTGTGGCAGAAACTAAAACCCTCAACGAAAGAATTGGTGAAAACAAGATTGATTTACATAACTACCTCAAACACGATGGAGTAAGAGGAAGGAAAACTGGTATGGCTTTATTAGTAAATAAAATATCAAATTTAACGATTATAGATGTTGATATCAATAAATACGTACAATGTGATAATTAAAGAAACAGTTAGAAAAGATATTTTATCAAAACTTTCGGATAAAGATGTTATCGTTAAAACCGCTTCAGGAGGTCTTCACATTTATTGCAACACTAATTTCTTCTATGCAGTTTCGAACAGAATGATTAAATGTTATTCCTGCAATGATTATGATATCGATATCATGACTTCCACGAATGATTCAAAGCGTTCTTTAGTGGTTATGGCTGATTCAAGAGTTCGCAAGAATGCAACAGAACCAATCAATACATACTCATTCATTCGTGGAAGTTATGATTCAACATTAACTAGAACAGTGAATGATATATTAAATGATTTGAATATTAAGGTAAGAGTTGAACAGAAGAACGAAGAAATAAAGACTATCATGAATGAAAACAAAGATGTAAACATTGACGATAAACTTGCCCAGAGCATAGTTGATGGCATCAGTGATTTTGAAGTACATAATGACGGTGGAAACATGAATTTAGAAAAAGAAGTTACATTATTCACACTGTTTCAAGCAATTAATTCGTTACCTAATCATTTAATTAATGAAGCATACGATAACGTTTATAACTTCTGCAGCTTAACAGAAAATGCAAAAAGTAATTTTGAAAAAGCACGTAGTAGATATGCACATTTAATGACTTCTCCATTTGTTTTAGTGAAGATTCTAAAACTTTATCAAAAGGAATATTATGATGAATACGTTTTACCTTTATTACGTAAGCCAAAATAACATTTGATATAAAACTTGATGACTCGTTTTTGATAACAGATATTAGACGCAAGGCTGAAATCATCAGTATAAAACAGTTCTGAAGTAATTGAGGATTTATCACGTGTAATCCGTTTTGTAGATTGTGGAAACAAATACTTCATTCAGAAAGATTACAACATCCACGACAAAATGAATCAAATATCATTCGTTCTTCAATCAAACATGAAAGAGTCACTCAAAATGATTAAATTATTTAAAGAAGAAGGTAAAACCATAACAGCATGGGACGTACTATTAAATCAATTATCCTCATTAACCGTTAAGGGCGTTTGCTTTAAATCTGATTCCCCGGATGTTTTCTCAACGTTTCAGGGTTATAAATACAACATTCTTGAAAAGCCTGATTACTCAAAAATTGAGATGTTTATGGATTTCATTAAAGAAGCCATTTGTGATAATAACGATGAAGTGTATAAATACCTTCTCAGCTGGATTGCATCAATGATTCAACATCCTGGAATCAAGAATGAAACAGCAATTATTTTGAAAGGACTTCAGGGAACAGGTAAAAACAGATTCACGGACATTATTTCTGAACTTCTCGCCGGTTATTCATGCAAAAACATTACCGAAATAAGTGAGCTAACGGGTAATTTCAATTCAGTAGTTGAGAATAAAATGTTTCTTGTACTTAATGAACTCAAGAATGTTGGTGAAGATAGACTCGCAAACTTCAACGCTTTGAAATCAATTATTACGGATAATGAGATTAGAATTAATGAAAAGAATCAACCCAGAAGAACTGCTCAGAATGTTGCAAACTTCATTTTCGTAACTAATAACGTTTACCCTGTCAAAATTGAAGTTGGAGACAGAAGATACGTAGTTTTAAGGGTTAATGGTAAATTCAAGGGTCAATTTGATTACTTCAAGAATTTAATGAATTCATGCACAAAGGAATTTTATGATAATTTACTGACGTATTTTATGCAATATGACCTTTCATCATTTAATGTACGAATCATACCGATGACTGAAGCCAAACAAGATTTAATTGAATTATCAACAAATCCTTTAGATGTATGGATAAATACACATTATGATGAATTGTGTGCAGGTATGACGTGTAAAAATGCTCTATTCTGCAAACCATCAGACATGAAAGACAAAAACTTTCAAATGAGCATTAAGGATAAATGTGATAAGAAACAGAGAAGAATAGATGGTAAACAAACATGGTGTTATGTTTTGAAAGAAGAAATGAAAGGATTATATAAACAGGTTGAACCAAACGATAATGAGGATTCATTTACTGACGATGAAATACCTGTAAATGAAGCTTTATAAAGTATGATTGGAATTTATTTTTGCATTAATCCTGCTGTGTTGTCAAAATGTCATGTTGTCTCATTTTTTCAGAGAAGTTAATTAACCGAGTGACACATGGTGACGTAGTGACACCCTCAGTTCTTCAAAAATAATTCATAAGTGCCTTCCTCATTAATCCTGCTGTGTTGTCAAAATGTCATGTTGTCTCATTTTTTCAGAGAAGTTAATTAACCGAGTGACACATGGTGACGTAGTGACACCCTCAGTTCTTCAAAAATAATTAATTATTGAATAACCTGAAACCATTAACGATAAAATAACTGATAACAAAATTTTATTTTTATATAAATGGATACCCCACAAGCTCAAAATTTACCACGAAAACCGAGAAGAACCTAGAAGGGTTCGGGAAGAGGAATAAAATTAAATTTGGATTGGGTTTAAAAATTCATCTTTATTAAATTCATCTCTTCCAATCAATTTATTTATTCTATTAAATTCTTTTATTTTTGCTTCACTCAGTTTAAGGATTGAACGGTAAGTTTCTAATTTTTCGATTATTTCTTTCCTCTCTTTATCGTTTTCAGCCCCACCGCATTGCGGCTTCTTTTTGTAATAGCATATTTTTGATTTAATTCTATTTAGTTTCTTTTTATATTCATTGTCTGGACTCTTGACTGCTTTGTTGTCACTCATTTCTTACGAAATAAAAAAAAATTAAATATTATTTAAATATAATGGAGTAATAAAATAAATCGGAATTTCTATTAATTTATTGTCAACTTCAACTAATGCATTGCCGTTAATATATCTAACAAATTCAGCTATTGTGTCAAATCTTCGTCTTCTTTTTGTCATTGATTTATCAGTTTTTCCATAATCGAGATGAATCAAAACTTTAACCCCTTGTTTAAAATTCATGAGCCCCGAATTAATTTGTTCACGTTTAACATCATTCAACCTTTCCATTTGCTTTCTAATATATTCCCATTCTTTTGAAATATCATTTTTCATTTCCACTGGTTTCATGTTTATAGTTCTATGCCATGTATTATTGTAATAATATACTAACTGTTGTATGATGGAGTCATGATTTCCATCCCAGTATATCTGACCGTTAACCCCTAACGCATCTCTAAGAGTTCTCATTACCGCATCAACTATTTTATTATGAAACGTATATGGAGAGGATGAAAAGAAAAAATTAATTTGTGGGAAATAATGAGCCATAGCTGCCTGAAATCCTTTATCACCATCACCCTGATATTATCTACTCTTTCATGATCTAGTAAGTATTGTATAGCTCTTCTTGTTTCCTGTTCTGTTTTCCCTTTCACTGGAATGCAATATAAATATCTAGTGTTAATGTTAATGGCAAATAAATAAGTAACGTTTCCTTTTGAATATTCCAGATGATCGATTTCGTATGAATATGGATATGGTGCAAATGAAGGGCGACTAAATTTTTCCTTTAACGGTTGAATTTTCGGGTCAATTGGTTTATTTAATATCTTGAAATCCTTTTTAAAATCTTTTTGCTTCTTTAATGTTTGAAATGGATATAATAAAGTGAATGATGAAGGATTAACTGAAGGAGGCGGTACTGTCGTTGGAGGTTTTGGTGTTGCAAGTGGTTTAATTTTATCTGCTTTGATTTTGGATTTCATTCCCCCATCATTAATTCTGGATGTATTCTATTCATTTGTTTTAAATATGCTGTATATAAAGGTTTGATATACTTTCCCGCTTCGAGTTTATGTTGAAGGATGAATTCCAAAAGTTGATCTTCATTTAAAAGTCGGGCTGAATATGGTTTAACTAATGAATCATAAATTAAAGCTTGTGCTTCATTTATGGTCTGAAGGACCTGGGTGTTTTGCACCTTTTGTTTTTGTTCCTTTGGCTTTTGCGGCTCAGGATTATATAATTTATATAATTCATCAATATCTTCTTCTGTTAATACTTTATTTTTGAAATCTTTCAACTGTTTAAGTTGTTGTGATTTAGTTTTTCCCTTTGTATATTCATTATTTTTAATTTTGTCTTTAATTTTAGAAATTATTTTATCATGATATTTCAAAATTTCATTTTTATAATATGGATAATAATATTCCATATCATCACCCGTTATATTGTTATCATATTTTTGGAGATATGATTTTAATTCATAATAACTAAGAAAATTTTGATTAAGTACTAAATCATAAATTAAATTTTTTAAATCTACGCTATTCATTTATATAAAAATAAAATAAGTGTTTTAAGGGTGCCCGCCTCTTTGAATCATAGTATCAAAACCGTTATTTACATATTGAATCGCATCATTAACAGTTCCTTTTTTCTCTTCTGTGGCATTTCATTAAAAATAAAATTTTAAATTGTATTAAATAAATGGCATACAACATCCATTTTCACAACATACAGCCTTAGTGTGTGCTCCTGTTAATGCAGTCTTACCGATTGTTAAGCGAGTCATTGACCCGTTTTTAAGTTGTAAATTAATATTCTGACCATCAAATATCGCTTTATCATTTATTATATCCAAATAATTTTTAGGTGTTAATTGTTTATTTTGTCGTAAACTAACACCTTTCATTTTTTGTGCAATCTTTTTAAAATCACTTCCATCAATTGAACCGTTGAATGATGTATAACACTTAGGACATAAAGCAACCATGTTATCACCTTGTTTCTCAATTGCTAAACCCAATAACTTCTTCTCATGTGCTTTTTCATCACTTATATTCTTTAATTTAGGTTTAAATTTCTCATCAAAACAGAAGAAATCAAATGGTGCGAATTTGAAAATGTTTTTATCATAAAATTGTTTATCGGTTACAATTGCTTGAAATGCTTGAGTGTTAGGAAGATTTGGGTCGCCAGCGATTGCCCAATAAGATGAATCAGTATCACCTTCAATGAAATGAAAACGATTAACATTCATGCATTTATACATAAAATCATAAATGAAAACCAAATACCAGTATTTTGCGTTATCTAAAGTGAAGAATGCCTCTTGTAAACATGTATCACATCTATAAAATCTATCTTTAAGCATCACTTGATATGTATCCTCACCTATTTCTCTTATGTTTTTAAACTTATTTGACATACATGCAACGCGTGCCTTCTGTGCATTCATTATTTTAGTCTTTGCGTAATTTTGTGTATTCATTGCATCGTAACCATATGATCCATTAAGTGAAATCTTGCAAAATAAACTTTTTCCTTTATTTCCTTCTAATTCAGCCTTTTGTCTTTCGTTCATAAATTTGTTCGCAAATTCATTAAAACAAGTGTTTTTAGTAAATGTTAAAATTGATTGAATGTCATCAATGATAAAATGAAATCTGTCTATTAGATACCAAAGATAATAAGAAGAAAATGGTTGATATTGGTTGTGTGTTGATGCTAACTGAGTTAATTTCCTCTGTTTCTGGTCAACCGGTAGATTGTTTGATTTCATGTAATTATACATAAAACTGCCAATTGTTTTTTCATCTGTGATAATATCTAAGTTTCTTATTATCGGTAAAAAGTTTATGTAATCATTAATGTATTTTTCATCAATGTGACCCTTTACTTCAGCCACGAATAAAGTATTTTTCTTCTTAATTATTCCCAGTGCTTTTGCTTTCTTTGTTGCTGTATCACAAATGATAACACCATTCAATCTTCCCGGCATATACATTTTATGGTCAGTATATTGAATGAAATCATGAGGATTAGATGAAAATGATGAAGGATATAATGAATTAAAATCAACACCAACGAAATGAGTCATAATGTTGGTGGTGTCCTCATTTGATACAGTTTTAGTTTCTGGATTATATGCAAGTTTATTAATGTGCGTGATTCCTTTAAGATTTACTCTATGTTGAACATTTGATAAACCACCAGTAATTCCATTACGGAGAATGTGATAAGCTTCAACTGAATCTAAAGTCATTGGTAAATTATTTTTTAATGCGTAATTTCTTAAATTGATTCTTAAACGTTGAACATCTTCATCTTTATTTGATTTCACGACATTGCAATAACAACACATTAACTGACAATTTTCTTTGGTATGTGGTTTTTCATTATCGATTCTATCCAATGTTGGTTTATTTGCATATGTAAACGCTTTACCACACATTTTGCATTTAGATGAAAGGATTAAATCGTGATAGTATTGAAAATCATCCATTGAAACATTATTTTTAGTATCCCTTTCTGCTTTTTCATCTTGTTTCTTATATGATTCAATTTTATATTTCCAATACTTTTTCGTTAATTCAAAACTTGATTCTATCTCTTCCTCAGGATATTTTTCATTAGGATTAAAGTCTTTATATGCTAAAGCGTAACGAATCATTGAAGCATTCGATGATAAAGAAAGATTATGAAGCATATCAATTTTATAAACAAATGTTTCTTCAATAATTTTATCGATTGGGTCAATCATAATTTCAACATCTTTATTGCAATAATGAATAAAATATTCTAATCTATTCTTAAAATTTTTAGCATCATTGAGATATATTTGATAATCACTATCTGATATAGTTTCTTGAGTTAATGCTGAATAAAATGAATCTTGAGTGAATGGTTCCTCTTTATATAATTCTTCTTCGTAATTCTCCCATGTGATGAATTGATAAGGGAAAAAGGATTTAACACGTGATTTATTGTTTCCGAAATCTTGAGTGAATTGGTCTAATGTTCCACCCGCTATATAATTTCTGATGTCAATAAATCTCAATTCATATGGAACGTTTGTTTTCTTTACAATGATTTGCTTAAATTGTGAAGATGAACCCAGCATTGATTTTATTTTCAATTTTGCAGTGTTTAAATCACGAAGAATTAAATTTAAATCAAACTTTCCCGAATTAAAACCTATGATATTCACTTTATTAAATTCCTCATCTAGAAGTTCTTTAAATGCTTCCTTCTGTTTTTCATTTAATGTATGGACAAAGTCCCAGCCGTTTGCGACTTCAATAATTCATTGTATTGACTCATATTTGATTCAACAACTAATGAACAGGTTGAAAATAAAAACTCAATCCAATCAGAAATAAAAGAATCACTCGAAGTTAAGCAAAAATTCCTCGTATATGTTTTATCGTTTAATTTAACCGTTGATGATACCATGAATGGTTTTAAGTAAGCATTCAAAGTTGCACACTCAGAAAGTTGTAATTCTTCTTTAGTCTCTAATGTTTCAAAGTCAAAAGTAATATAATATCTTGTTGGTTTATAATATTTCTGCAAATTGTGAGCTAATAACCACTGATATATCTTCTGTTTCGTAATATGTGGTGCATATGGTTGCTGGGTATTTTGCAACTGAACGTCTTGAATTAATCTTCCATTATTTTCTTTACATTTCTCACAATGCTTTAAAAATCTTCTTTGGTTTTTCCTTTCTGGATCATCACGGATAGAATAAACTTCTTCTTTACAATATGGACAAACTTTATAGCCGTGAGTGCTTCAACATCTGTTATTCTGTCAGCGTGAAGTTTTCCACATGGATCTGTGTTAATAAAATATTTACTGTTTCAATTCTGGATCTATCATTATTGATTCCACTAATGGAAAGTCTACCTTATTTATGTCCACGTCTTCTGGTTGAGGATCACAATAATAGAAATCAATATTAACATTTAACATTCTCGCTAATCTCTCACTTTCTGATGAAATGTCAAACCCTTCATATGCATCTATTGCTTCATTTAAATAGCTTCTACGAGTTTTAGGATTAGCACCATCAGGAATGTTATAGAAGCGTTTAAATAACCTTCTACCTTCTGCTCTAATTTGATTATCATTCATTTTAGCTGTTCCGTTTTTGTTCATTTATGTAAGAATAAAAAATTAAAAAATAAATAAAAATAAAGTTTATTTTTTAAAGCCCATAAAATGAATTAAGAACACATAAATTTTTATCATCTGCGACGTGACGAATACATTTTAATTTACTCAAGAATGCGTACCCTGATACATTAAATCTAATTCCTGTCTTATTTAATTTCACAACTTTGAAAAGGAATGTATGAATAGCTATAAAATGATGAGAAGATGTTTTATGGGTTGCTTCCATTTTTTCTGAAATAAATGAATAAATATAATGCTTATAAGTTTTCATATCTTTTATATTCTTAATAACGAATGGTATAGACCTTTCCACTTCGTCTTCCTTCGGTGCTGTTCTTTCATATGAAACATTTTGGTATCTTCAATAATGAAACCACAATCACACAAAATTTTATAGGTTCCAATGGTTTCTTTTGATATTTTATCTAATAAATCAAAAACTTTATCAACACCTGTGCATTTATTTAAATAATAATTTGTGTAAATATCATGATCTTCTTTCTTAATCGTATTAGTTGCATATGTCACGTTTTTAAGAGCTTTTTTGAATTTTTCGGAATCTAAAGGTGGTGAAAGCAGGATACAGGGGTATTTTTCATTATCAATAAATTGTAACTTATGTTTACGTATAAATTTAGTACCTTCTTCTGAAAGTGTTTCGTCTATTTCACCATCTAATAAATTTTGTGTTGATTCTGAGACATAAGTTTTATATCTTTCTTCATGAGATTTCTGAACTTCTGATTCTGAAGCTGGGATATTCATTAAACCCTCTACTTCATTTTCATTATATTTTTCAACTTCTCTTAATTCCTTAATTTTTTCATCTATTTCATCTCTTATTTTTTCCAGTCTTTCAATTTCATCATATTCATCATCTTTAATCCGTTCTTCATAATATTCAGGGAAAACATCAGGTTCTTTAGGTTTTTCTTCTTCAGATGTGGGATATAAGAAATTTATAACATCATCTTTATTCATTTTTCCATCATAATCTAAATCATTTAATAACTCCGCGAATTTTTTACAATTTCTTAAATAATATTTATCAACTTCATAACACAACTCCTCTAATATATCCTTTATTTCCTCGTTTGTGAATCCCAATTTTTTAACATCGTTAGTTTTGACACTCATTTCTTACGAATTAAAAAAAATAAATTATTCAAAAATGTAAGACATTAATTTTTAAAGTTTATTTTTTATTCATGAAAATAATTATTTCTAATTTCTTTTACTCGTTTATGAGGTCTTTGATTATGACTCCATTATATTTATACCTCCTTTCATACCTGTTGTCAAAATGTCATGTTGTCTCATTTTTTCAGAGAAGTTAATTAACCGAGTGACACATGGTGACGTAGTGACACCTTCAGTTCTTCAAAAATAATTAATTAATCGCGGAATATCTGACATCATCTATATATAGCTTCTTTTATAAAAGATAAAATAAATTATTTTAAAATTAATGTGTTTATTTCATTATGTATGGGCTGAGTGTAAATGTCTTACAATTTTTTAAATCTTGATTTATTCAAAAACGTAAGAATAAAAACCGTAAGAATCATACATTTTTTACTTCATATGTTAAAAAAAATGATACAAAATCGCTCGATATTGCATGAATTCTTACGTTTACAAAAAAAGTCACACAACCCGTCATATCATACTACTTTGATTTTTTACATGAATGCTTTGGAATTTACTTGAAACACATCCTATTTTATATGAAAGTGCAGACATATTTCTATCTATATAGATTTAATGAGCTCGTAATATTCAACATTATCTTGGATATATCCTTTTTAAGAAAATCATCATCTGAACAATCCAAATTTTACATACTTGTCATTCAATGCTGTTATTGAATTTCATTTTGAATACTTGTTAGGAATTAGAAATATGAGTATCTCATCATGCGATTTCATATATAACAATCAGCATATTTCATACAATCAGTCAATGTAACTATGGTCTGGGGACATAAAATTGAAGACTTGTTTTTTTGATTGGACTCAGATTCAAAAGTAATCAAAATAATTAAAATTTTCTGATAAAAGTGATACTTTATAATAATATTTCATGCTTTTAATCATAAACCGAAGCGAAACGTCATAAAATTTTTATCTCAAAAATTATGAGGGCGATCGAATCTGCGAAAGATCTCTGTGAGCAGTGGGCCGCCGTTGGTTTTCTTATCATGAATAAGGATGCCAACATGTCTTCTTCCAAATTAAAGGGAAATATGGTTCGCCTTAACTTCAGACTTCGTGGTTTAGACCAGCATGTCAACAACATTCTTGATAAATATATAACAATGAATGCTGATGATATCAGACTTTATTTGGAATGTATTCAGCGCTTAATTGAAACTATTACAAACGAAAATACAATTGATACTATTTTTGAAAACACAATTGAGTGTTTATACGAAGCCGCTGTTGTTGCAACAATGGTACTCACCGAAAAGAATGAATTACATGAAAGAACGTTAATTACTACTGAAGTTCAGTTTCCAGACATATTTTTCACATATATCGAAGAAGCTCTTGGTTGGATTTTGAAAGTATTGAAGAAAATCGATTTCCATAATTACACAAAACTTAAAGTTAGAGTACAACGCATTTTATTCGATTTCTTAATCCATGATCCAAAGAATGTCAACGTCAGAAACGAAGGAAAAATACTTTCTCTTATTTCATACCAATCAGAATGGAGTAACGGCATTGGAGAAAGAATTAAACAAATTTACAACCAATCTTCAAAGAAAGATGCATCTAAGCGTGTTATTCTCTTACTCCTCACAAATGTCGAACATTTACGCTATGATTTTACAGTTGTTGCAAACAGAGCTACAATTATGAATGAATTAATCGAATGGGCCAACTTTACACTCAAAATCAGCGACGAAGACATCAGTTTACAGATGATCTCCTTCACCATTGGCTCAATGATGGCCTGCAAATGGGATCCTACGCTTCCACAAGATCAACCAACCAGAGAAATGTTCAAACGCTTGATTGAGACCACATTTAAGCTCGTAAAAAGCAACAAATACGAACCGATGTATCTTGACATCGCTGCTCGTTCAGTTTCTCTGTTGAATATCAGTTTATTCGATTCATACTGGAAGAAACTCTCCGCTTTGATCGCAGAACACGTCAAGAAACAAGCTTCTCCAGAAACATTCAAGTCTCTTGCATTAATTGTTAAATTATTCTGCGGCAATTTTATAAATGGCGAACAACTCATGCGTTTCATCACAGAAATCATCTATGAGAAGAACAAACCATATGTTCTCAAACAAAAGTTTGAAAGCAAGGAAGATTTCATCAGAGATTTCTTTGTTTCTTTTTCAGAGGTCGAACCAAACATTGTTTGCAACTACATCAACGGACTACAGAAACTCGTTACACAATCCAACGAATTAGGCCCAAGAACTCAATATATGCTCGAAATTATGTCGAATATTAAGACAAACGACGATGCTTTGACCAAATCACTTTTGGCACCAATAGAAAGCAAACTCGAGCTATACTTGAACATCGCAACTCCTCCAGGCATCATAAAGTCCTCTTTACCTTTAATTGTTCCAATGTGGACTTTAATTCCACGTTCCAGACCAGGAATCTCCCAATCCGTACAGAATTTGATCGCCCATTTGGATCCAACAGTTCAAACAGCCTGTTTCCGTGTTTTTGTTGAGATGATGTCGAAAGCACCAGCTGCAGACTTCCCAGTTAACGTTGCTTTCAACATGCCGAGTGCTATTTTCAGACAACTCAGTCCAAACCTTCCAACAAATATGTTTTTGACACAAGGAAAGATGCTTTTGGACTTTTTGGTCGCAATTACGAACATTTTCCACAACAAACCAGGCGAAACATACGTAGAATGGGAAACATTAGTTTCTAAACTCGATATCGCATTGTTCCCATTCTTATTCTCCACGGAACCATTAGTTATAAGACTTGTCAGAAACATTTATTCGACAATTGCTCCAGAAGTCACTTTTTATTGTGTTGCAACATGGCTTTCTAATAACAGAGGAAGGTCATTATTCAACACATTAAAATCAGCTGTTACTACACGTCCTGACTGGTTTGTTGTCATTACAAACAAAACGATCAATTTCTGGAGAATTTTGGCATCAAAATCTACTTTGGATGTTGATTTTTGTGTTAATTTGGCAACAGCCCTTTTCACGATGATTACTCCTGAAGCTGAGAACTTACCTATATTCTTCATGGATGTTTTGGATATGATGTTGAAGCACATTGATTTCAAACGCCTTGAGAAACCATTTTCCAATTTAACTCCTTTAGTTTGGGACAAATTCTTCCATGAATTCAACAATTTCTATGGAAAGAACATCGATGAACAGAGGTTATTATGTCTGCAGATACAAATGCTCTTCTGTTCCAACAGACATTTCATTAATTTCAACGTAGAAGAAAGAGAAAGTTTCTACACAACACTCAAAAACTACGTGATTTCGAAGAGAGCGAGATTTGAAAGAGAAATTCCATTCGAAATCATTTCCCTTCAAATCTGTTCAACAATTATCAGAGTTGACAAGACAATTCTTCCAAAACTATGTGAAGAAATCGGTGGAGAAAGCGAATTACTCAAGAAAATGATGACGAGAATCAATCCGAAAGAAATTTTCGTTGTAAATGCAAACAGAATATTCGCACACCTTGATTTCTTTGCTGCTGTTTTGTCACAGATCAAAGTCAATTCCAATGATGTTTCCCTTGTTTTGAGTTATCTATTGACAATCGCTGATAAGTCAATTGAATACTCAGAACTCTTAGACGTCATCGCAGACTGCATCAATCAAATGTTCACGATGAATGACGAATCAAGAACATTGATTATCCATACAAGTATTTCATTCAAGAACACATTGTTGAATGAAATTGGCAAAGCGATTATGTTGAATGCCAAATCAGAACAAGCTATTACAGACAGGAAACAATTAACTGATGAATTAGTACTTGCAACTTCTTTGTTTAGTTCTAGTTCTTCTGTTTCTCACATTGTTGGTTTGAATTTGGCAAAAAGCGCTTTAGAAAAATTGGCAAAAGGTGATGAAGAATACACATCAACATTCGAAAATCCTTTGTTCTCTTACAATCCACATTGTGAAGAAATGGTTTGGAAATTGATTGATAAATACTTGGGAGATGAAGAAATGGAAGAATTCATCACTCTTTTATCCAATATTTCTTCAAATATTCCAAGAAGATCTCAACAACCTGTTGTTACAATGAAAGCTCTTGAATTCTTCAATGAACCGAAATTGGAACACTTCACTTCCATTTATTCTTATTTGGCATCAAATGATTTCAGTGATTTCAACCAATTCGTTCCAATTTTGAATCATTGCGACCAACTCTTCGCAAATCAAATCGAAAACATCGAAGACATATTGAACATTTTGATGAAATCAGCTGGAACATCACAAAGCCACTTAAATGCCACTGTTTACATGTTCCATTCCGCTTTCCAGAGCCATCCAGAAGAAGTCAGTGATTTCATCAAACAAAAATTTACTTTCTTGGATCATTTGAATAACCCACAAACATGGCAGAGAATCCATGAAGAAATCAACTCTTTCGCAAGAGGAACAGCAATTCTTTCATACATTTTAGCAAGAAACAATGATAAAGAACTCACAAAGAAACTCTTCGGAAACTATGCACCGCAATTATTATTGTATGCATTGCATATTTTCGAGTTGAAAGAGTTCAGAATGTCATTGTTCCCTCCACTTTTATTGTCTTTGTTGCACTCTTTCAGTCCATCAAGACAATTGCTGATTTTCAGGAACAACAACGCTTTGGATTTGTCTCCTGCTCAATGCCAGTTTGCCAACGACATCATCGAAGAATTCGATCCAGAAAGCGCTAAAGAATTCCGCAGAATCATCATTCCTTCACGTGCTGATGGTCAAGAGATGAACTTGAATTTCGTCCACGCAATTTCACCGAGATTTGGTGCTCACGACATTGCAATGTTATTGAGTGTCGTCGCAGAATACGCAACGAAAGACAATGTCGGAACAGTTCTTCGATTCCTTCCTGCTCTCGTTAACGCTCTTCCGAGTGTTGCTCCGCCAAAGACAATCGCGTATTTCATCATGTTCATGATCTCTTTCATGTTCGACAACGGTGATCCAAGAATTATTTTGTCATTTGCCGAAAATTTGCCAGTTTTGTCAGAATTATTAGAAAAATATGACAAGAAAGGTGAAGTGTCAAAAGAATTCACAGATCTTCTAAACGAGTCTGGCGGCAGCGATGTTATTTTGTCTGTTGTTTTAGAGCCATTGGCTTTAGCAGACAAATTAACAGGACCATTATATCCTGCATGTTTAGATTTCCTGATTAACATCAACGGATACATTTCAAGCAATGACGAAAGGAATATTTCAACTGTTGACGCGATTATCATCATTCTCGACAGTTTGTGGAATATCTCAGGTGTTAAATCTCGTTTGTACAAAGCAAGAAAGACAGGATGGATGAACGGATGCCAATCAATCAATGATTTGGTTTCATTCATCACTGCAGCACTTCAAGATAAAGAAGACATGAAGTGCGTTTGCCAGTTCTTACTGAGATTGACATCAAATATGGTTATTCAGGATGATAAGTTCAGATTGAACACTGTCAACTTGTTCTCCAGATTCGTTGAAGATATCGAAATCATCGCTTCTATGGAGAATGTCGGAGAGTTCTTGTTGGTTTCTTCTGTTTGCTCTGATGAAGTAATTTCCCTCAAATACGCAGGATTACTCGGCCAACTCATCAACCAAGAAAGAAAAATCTCTAAGAAGTCGAGAGATATCATTTCAATTATGGGTCCAACACTTGTCCACAACGACGAAGAATCAATGACAATAGTTAGATCTATTTCTCCTGATTTCTATCCAGCTCTTTCTGTTGTTGCAAGACCTCCTGTTTTGTCCTCATTCATCGACAAACTCGTCTTCAATTAATTTTCATTTCAATTTTATTAAATCATTATTTTTTTATATAACATAGATTATTTTTATATATCTACTAGCAAATATAATGTTCAATTTTGTGAATGAAGCCTATAAATTTGATCAGTTTTATTAAATGTCACTTTTTAATTTTTTTTGTGATATTAATTTGAATTAATTTAAAACTTTAAAATTTGTGTGATAGCTTAGTATTCACACTCAAAGGTAATTACTATATGCTTGGTACTGGCAATCGGGAAACTGATTGCAATGCTGATCCGAATCAACTTTGTGAAAATTTAACTATCCAAAATCAATTAAATAACATTCCTATCACCCATATTGGTGATTATGCATTTAGATTTCGTAATCGATTAAAATTCATTTATATTCCTAATACGATAATATTTCTAGGCTATGATTGTTTCGGATATATTTACACTTTAGAAAATGTAATATTTGAAGAAAGATCTAACACCTCGCTCGTATTTGATCAAGGTGTATTCTACAGAACTAATATGACATCGATCAGACTTCCTAATAAAATATTATCTGAACACGATTATGTTTTTAGTTTGTCAAAAATAAAAAATGTTATCTATTGCGGAATGAACAATGTATATGGCAGTTGGTTTTTGGAAATGTCTCCACCAATTATTTATGTTCATCCATTATACCCATATATGAATTTCGCGAATGTTACAAACCTGGTATTTTCCAAAGTGTGTGAAGTAAATGTTAAATGCAATTGTCCTTCTATGAATTACCCATCATGCTCATTTTATCGAATATCAATTCTATTAAATGTTATTATTATTTCCTAACTTATATAATATTATAAGTTTTAACTATTATCTAGATTTAATAGTTAGGTTTGAATATAGAAAGGATGCGTTTACATAACTATTAATATTTACTAAACAACTTCTAATCTAACATGAACTACTGAAAATGATCTGCATTTTCGAAGAAAAGAACAACTCATGAATGTCTTCGAAGATAAGAAGAAAACTAAATTCAAATACAGACAATCTTTGAATGCATGGAAATCAATTGTATTATGCTATTTCCTTAGAAGAAACGTTCTTAATAGTATAGGGTTTAACATGAATGAAATACTATATATTGAGCCAATTCTAAAGGAATAAGGAAGTGATTTAAAACCTAAAATTACATGATGATGAAGCATTTACTTTATAAAAGAATGTTATGTGATTGATTGACAGTTTGAATATTGGAATATCAAAAAAAAATTCATATAAGAAGTGAATTTTTTACAAAAGATTATTTCAGGAAATAGTACGATAATTGATGAGATTATAAAATTAATTGGATTTTTGCTCTGCTTTGAAAGACAATTCATTTGTCCTAAAAACAAATTGGAGCAAGTAAGTTGAGTTTATTTATTTCTATAGAAAGGATATAAATTATGGGTCCAACACTTGTCCACAACGACGAAGAATCAATGACAATAGTTAGATCTATTTCTCCTGATTTCTATCCAGCTCTTTCTGTTGTTGCAAGACCTCCTGTTTTGTCCTCATTCATCGACAAACTCGTCTTCAATTAATTTTCATTTCAATTTTATTAAATATAATTTTCCTCAGAAAGGATCAATTTATTTCGAGTCAACAATACTATGAATATATTTAAAGCATATATTAATTTGATTAAGTAAAGTTTTTTCTTTTGATATTTGATTAATAGGAATTAAACAACTATGAAATGCAGTAAGAGTGAAATTGATGTATGAATATACAGAATCGATATTTATCATTTCTGGTGAACTGCCAAAACTATTGATTGTTAAATTATCAAAATGACAATTCTCCATTATTAAATGTTTAGCACTATTCCTTATTAAATAGCCACTGGCATTATTTTCAAACATAGAACAGTTTGAAATAATTGTCTCACCAACACAAACTATGATACCTCCAGCCGGCTTATGATGCTGAGAATTATTTATAATATTACAATTACTAATAAAATGAGGTGTAAAGTCAAAGCCAAAATGACCAATAATCCTTTCACCGCAATCATTATGACAGATAGAACAAAAATTTGCTTTTCCAGGTGATTCATTCGGGTTTATTGAATATGCAGCAATATCATAGAGCCCAACATTATAGCTAAAATTTTTATAACTGATGTTATTAATTCCCAAGTTACAAGAAATAGTATCACAACCGTATCCATCCATTTTGCTTCAAGAAGAAATACTACTCTCAAGTACAAAACTACAATTCCCATTGCTTATCTCTGAAAACGAATGCTGACCTCGATTAGATGCAGATGAATTTAGGGAACAACATCTATGTTGAATTAGGGAACTACTTCCTGACATAAAAATACAGCCTCCATTACCTCTATCCATATAATAACCACCATACTCATCTTTTTTGCAATTACTGAAGAAACAACCTGAGTGTAATAGTTTAACATCATCTTTATAATCAAAAGATATTACTCCATTTTCAATAAAATGAAATCTACTTAGCAATACAAAACACTCGGAGTTAAAAAAAAAAAAAAAAAAAAAAAAAAAAAAGGTAGTGGGGCTTCCAGGCACTTCGTGCCCTCTAGCCCCGAAGATGTTTAGTATAAATGAAGTTCTTATATACGGGTCTTCCAGGAGCTTTTCACAAATTATATATGTTTTCATGTTTTGTCAAGACTTCTTCGTAAAATCAGACAAAAATAATGTTTAGGGTAGAAGGTTAGATATAACCTCTTTTCTAACCTCTTTTCTACCCTCTTGAATTTTCAAGACTTCTTCGTACATGTTTTGTCACTTTTCTGTCACTTTTCAGGAAAAAACATTTTTATTATATATATAAAATGAATTTTACAAAACCACCGTTACCCTTCTTTGGAAATAAGAGTAGATGTAAAGATATTCTATTGAGAGAACTTAAGAAACTACCGAATGGTCTAACATTTGTAGATTTGTTCGGTGGAAGTTTCTATATATCTCATTTGTGCCATACAATATTTCCTGACTCAAAGATTATATGCAATGACTTCGACAACTATATGAACCGTCTCAAACATATACCAGACACAAACAAAATATTGAAAGAGTTAAAAGAAAAGATACCTATAGGTAAGATGGAACGTATACCATTAGATAAGAAAAATATTGTGAGAGAGGTTTTTGAAAAAAGCAGAATATATAGACTGGGATAGTATATCTGCTAGACTATTATATAGTGGTGCTATAAGAGTTCATGACATTGAAACACTTATGTCAAAAGTTTTATATCTTAACTATACAAATGTTTTCAAAGAGAACATAGAAAAATATATTGAGGGTATAGAGTTTGTGAGATGTCATTGGACAGAGTTGTATGAAAAATATAAAGACAAGGAAAATGTTTTCTTTATAGTGGACCCGCCGTTCTATAACACATGGGATTTTCAATACCAAGTAGACTGGACTTTGAGAGACTCTTTAGAAACTTTAGACGTTTTACATAACCATCCATGCTTTTACTTTACATCCGATAAAAGTGGTTTGGAAAGTGTCATGAGATGGTTAGAGGACATACATGACTATGAGTTTAGATATGACAAGATAGAATATGAGAGAGGTCCTATAAACTGGAGAAAGTGTCATAACAAAGAAATTTTATTAGTAAGTAAATGTGGTTTGAAATAGGACTACTTGTTTAGGTTTTTTCCATTGTGTCATTTATTTATTTGACGTGGCAGAAAAGTACAGAGAATATGAAGATGAACCAATGCCTGCAAATGTTCAGTATATGTACTCGTAAGAGATATTTTTATCTAATATTAAATGGACGCACAGAACTTAGCGAATGCACAGCAACCTGGACAACCAAACCCAGAGAATATTCCAAATGAAGTTAGAATACAAACTGCAATGGCAAACTATGGTCAAGTGCCAACAGATGTACAAATGCAAACTGCCATGTCAAATGACGCTGCGTTAGGCTTACCACCATGGTATGCAAATATGAGATGGAAAGAGTTTTATACAAACCCTGAAGTGGGATATAAACAACTTTATGCAGATGACGCGAACACAGGAGTTGACCCAGAATATGTTTTCTACCAGAGGAGAAACAGAATGTATGAGCTCCAGTTAAAGAATGCTATGGAACTCAACAGGAAACGTAAGAGACTAGGCGGACATTAGATTTTTACATATAGTAAAATGGGTTTCTTCAGTAGTATTGGAAACTTCTTTCGAAATGTTGGAAGAGGTATATGGAATGGAATAAAAACCGTAGGAAGAGGAATTTGGAACGGAGTCAAAAATATTGGTAAAAGAGTAGGTCAGTTTGTTGGTATTATACCTAAAGACCCTGAACCAGAAGAACAAGCTCCTGTTATACAACAGCCTGAACCTGCACCACAGTCTAGTTGGCAACCAAATCCAACACCTCAACCGTATTAAAAAATTATATTTTTACCGTTCGATAGTAGTTGTATATGAAACTAAGTTCTAAGTAAAACGCATGGTATAATGGAATTATTCTTTTTCTTCCATCTGTAGTAAACCATACTTGAAAGTCTGAAATACTTCCACTCGGTGGTTCATATAACTTTGTAGGTTTTTCGTAAAAGTCATTTGCCAAGCATAAGAAAGAGTTTTGGGCGCCAGAAAATGAAGCATGAACAATAATAGCAGCTGGGTCGAAAACATCTTTAAATAAATATGGTTCATCTCTTGCATATCGACTGTAAATATTTGCTAAAGGAAGTTCGACTTTCTGATTTAACATTCTTTGCAAATAATACCATGACATTGCAGTGATTCTGTATATATTTGTTCGTCTTTCTTTGGATTGTCTTCGTAGATTTGAAATGACACTTGTGAATTTTGTTTTGTCATATACAATTCTCACATAAAGTGTGCTCTCGGTATTTGCATATTCATCAGCATATTTTGCATAACATGAATTTATTTTATCTTCTATATTTTTTAACGCAGTCTGTAGAGAAGATGAAAGGTCAACTTGTATTAGCTCAATTTCTTCCCACATTTTTCGTTTCCCTTCAGATATATAATCTATATGAAACCTTACAATAAATGGAAAACTTTTATCTTCTACAGACACAAACTTCATTCTACGAAAGCCAATAGCTTTTGTGACAGATGGGTCTCTTAGCCATCTTAATGGGTAGTCAAAACGATAGCCTTCATGCTTTACGGTCTCTGTCTCAAACTTTTGACCGACATTCGTAAAAAGTTCATCTAATGGTTTAGTTGTAGCAACTCTTGAATTTTCTTTTTCTATTGAAAGCATATTTTATCTAGAATAAAAATGTCGAAAGAAACAGCGTCTATGAGAGAAATACAACACAACCGACAACTCATTATGCAAGCTCTAAATAAGAACACAACAAACTTTTCAAACTATTCTAAGATATCTGAGTCATTGAAAGAAGGAAACTTAAAACTGACGATAAACCCAATGACAGATGAGTTTCTGTTTCAAGACAGTAAGAACCATACTGTCTGTGTAAATCCAACAAAAGGAACTTTAAACGAGAAACCTATATCTGAACTTCTTTTGAAAGCAGATATTGACAACAAAGCTGACAAAGAGTATGTAGACGATGCAATAGCAAAAGAAGAAGAAAGAGCTAACAAAGCTTATGCAACGAAAGAGGATGTTGAAAAGAAAGCAGATAAAACATATGTTGACGATGAGTTAGCATATCTGGCTAGTGGGTTAGTGAAGAAGGCAGATAAGGAATATGTGGATGAAAAAGATGAAAAAATTAAAGAAATGGTTGAATGGTACCATGAACGGACATCGAAGATTTTAGAAGGTAAAGCCAATACAGGGTGGGTTTCAGGATGTTTTAGACCTTAAAGCCGACAAGAACCATACACATACCATTGCAAATATTACAAACTTACAAGAAACCTTAAACAGGAAAAGTGACGTTGGACATACACATACCATTGCAAATATTGCAAACTTACAAGAAAAGTTAGATGACAAAGCTGACAAGAACCATACACATACAAGTTTTACAACTGTTGCTATAGAAAATATTGAAGGAACGGTTGAAGAAACTGGTGGGGATGCAATATATTGTAAACCTCCTAACTTTCCACAAGGTTTAACATCGGATGACGACATAACGACGATGAGAAACATTAGATGTAAAGATGTTTATGTCATGGAGGATGAAAATAAAGTTAAATTCACTGCTCAAGATTTATATGACAAGAAAGCAGACAAAAAAGAGCTTCAAACATTAAAGACAGAAATACTTCAAACCATTTACCCGGTTGGTTCTATTTATACGTCAATGAACTCTACCAGACCAGAAGTAGTACTTGGTTTTGGAACTTGGACTCAAATATTCGAAAGTTTTTTGTATTGTGCACACACTCCAAAGAAAACAGGTGGAAGTAAAACGATATCTGTCGACAACTTGCCACCACATAGTCATTCTGGTACAACAAACTTTTCTGGCGACCATAGCACTCATTAGAGAACCACCCATTATACAACTCAGAGTATGAAGCTGGCTATGACGTTTTATCTCCAGATTATAACCATTCAGCAAAAAAGACTTTTCGAC